AAGTGGAGTTTTGTGTTTTCACAATATACATTAGGCATTTTTTCAAGTTAGGTTAGTGGATTCCCAAGTGACATTACTGGATCCCAATTTAGACAAGTCGCTTTTTCTTAAATAATTTATTCTGAAGTAGAGTTTCATACTTTCACAATATACATTAGGCATTTTCTCAAGTTAGATTAGTAGATTCTCAAGTGACGTTCCTGGATCCTAATTTGGACAAGTCACTTTTTCTTAAATAATCTATTCCTAAATGGAGTTTTGTGTTTTCATAATATACATTGGCCATTTTTTCGAGTGGAGTTAATGAATTCTCAAGTGACATTAGTGGATCCCAATTCAATCGGGTTAGTGAAATTTAACAAGTCACATTAGTATTCATATTCTTTAATGAAGTTAATGACTTTTTAAGTGATATTTGTATTTTCATAAGCGGCTTTGAAACATTTCAAAAGTGAGTTTTATATTATAACAACATTTATACTTCAAAGTCTAAAACATTGCAAAAAAATTTATTCCCAAGTGAGATTCTATGTTTTCACTAGTTACAGTAGCAATATTCTTATACTATATTAGTAACTCAGCAGTTTTATGTGATGACAACATTTACACTTGCACATACTTAAACTTAAAATAGACATCAGCATTATATTACACTGATTTTAATACATGTAGACGTCATTTTTATCTTTTAGGAAAAGTTTCTCTTCCTCATTTGTTGGAATAGCCAATTCTACATTCTCCATTCCTGGGTTACAAGTTTTTATTCTAAATAGTCTCTTCACTATAGTGTACTCTTTCTCTTGATAGCGTGCTCGTCATCAATAATTTCTTTAGCTTTGTTAATCAATCTTCTCTCTGACAATGGCAATGTCACTACCATTTGATAAGGGTAAAGCTGAGTAGGAGGAAAGAGTACAAAGCTCTGACAGAGATGAACCATAACGAATCCCAAATCTAGCATGATGTGTTTACAACACTGGAGCTAATATGGACACACCAAGGAACAACAAAGAACGAGAATGAAGGAGAATGGAAGAAGAGAGAAGGAGACACCGAAATAGAGTAAGAAATGAGGCTACACGCATGGCTATTTTGCTATTTTTTCTCAAGGGCATTTAAGACCATCTATATTTTTTTAAATCTCAATGGTTCTTAATTGGGATTTCCATATTTTACGGTCCTCAATTGGGATTAGTGTCCTTAGGGGGTATTTAATTATTATTTTTCCAATTCTTTATGTGGAAAACATACTATAATAGACTCCCAACTAGAGAAGCTCATGGTCTCAATACTCACCTTGCTATAATTGGTGCCTCATAAAAGTAAAAGATATTCTTCACATTACTCGTGATTGCAATCATGCCTAGAAGATATTGAGGAGCATTGTGCACCCAAGGTATTTATCTCCATTCTTCTTTGTTTCTTTGAAAGAATGTATGAGTCAAATCTCAAGATGAATTTAGGAAAAGATAGATGGAGAAAGTGGGGATATGGAGTAATATTATCTAGAAATTATGGAGATGGAGTATCTTTAAACTTAATTTTCAGAAACCCCATGACCCGCTGGCTAAAATTATGTCTACTTGGAAATTTTTTACTTTCAATTGCCGAGGGGGGAGGGAATCGAGTAGCTTTGCTTCACAGACCTCAATTCATAAGTGGATGCTTCCCCTACTTAACTGGATGAAAATTAATGTGGATGGCATTGTTGCTCTTGCTAGTAATGAAGTTGGATGTGGAGGAGTTTAAGAGATCACAATGGTTACTAGATTGTGGGGTTTTGTTACAACCTGGATACTTGTAATGCCTATGAAGCTAAAGAATGGGCAATGCTACATGGTTTTTGTTTTGTCTGGACCTTGGATTTGGATAGATAATATTAGAATGAGACTATAAGAATTTGATTGGCAATATAATTGGAGGATGTGGAAGTGGTGATATGTGTAGTCTTGTTCTCTTGGAGATATTAGATTTTATTAAGTGGAATTCAAATTTTCATAGTCAACATGTTTCTAGAAAGTAGAATCAAGTCGTTGATGGACTGGCAAAGGAAGCTATATCAATTACTCTTCTCTTTTTTAGGTTGATCTTGATTTCTTAAAGAGATTAGTGTCATCTGAATGTTTGGGATCTTAATCCTTTATGATGGACTTAGTCCTCTTTCATTAGCCAAAACAAAAAAGAAAAAGAAAAAAAAATATTTCAAACTAAATTATAAGAAGATTTGAATATCCTTCTACTTAGATACCCATTATGCAATACTCTATATTTTCAAACCAAATTATTTAACATTATCATGGTAATCAAATGTCTACCATGATAATTAAAACCAAACTTATCCTTTTAAAACACTTATCATAATAAAAAAATGTCTTCCACGGTAGAAAGAACAAAAATTGTCCTTTGAAAATATTGTTATGGTAAAAAAAGAGTCTATCATGGTAGAAAAAAATCAAGCAACTATAATAAGATTTACCATAATAGAAAATGATTTTTTATTTAAATAACTCAATTTTGAAATTAGCTGCATACCATGATAGAAAAGAATTTAGCATGGTAGAAATTATTAAAGTTAGTAAAATGAGTCTACAATGATAAAAAGAAGTTTTCTAAATCAAGAAGAGTCATCCAAACGGGATCCTATTCTTAATAAGAGTTAATAAATCAAAACGATGGCATAAATCATAAATAATTATTAAATATGATAAATGTAATACTTTAAATTTTTAAGCCACTTTTCTTCAATACAAGGGTAATTAATCCAAAACTCAATTTTTAAAATACCTAGCATGATAGAAAGAATAAGGGCTAATTTTCAAACCCTACTATGGTAATAAAATATTTATCATGATAGAAAGAATTAAATATAATAATTTAAACCTATCATGGTAATAAAAAAATACTAAATTAGTTAAAAGCATACCAAATGAAATCCCATTCAAACAAAACTTTAAAATTCAAAATATTGAGTTAAATCATAAATAATAATAAAGCATAGTTCCTAAGTACGAAATAATTTAACAAAAACAAAAGTTTGCATAAGAGTAAAAGTATCTGAAGAACCATTTCAAAATTTTAAAATTTGCAAAGGAGTATTTTTGTAAATATTGTGCTATTCGACGTGGCCAACACTGCCTACAGCGAAGGATGACAGTACACAGAGGAGGCCTTCCTTGGGAGGGCCATGTGCTGCAGCCAATGTGACGTGCTCCCAAAATCATTTTATCTTTTTTTAATAATATTTGATCTTTTATAAAAAAATAAAATTTATCATATTTAAAAATTTAAAATCAACCTCCATATGCATAGAAAAAAAAAAAACCCTCCATAATTTTTATATTTTTTTTATTGCAAACTCCCCTATTCTCCTTTTATTATTTCTTAATTATCTTATTAATGAAAGTTAATTAGTATATCATATTAAAAATAGACACATAACAGCTTCTGTGATATTCTATGTAATTTAATAATAATTTTATAAAAATTTTATTCATATACTTTTTGATAAATTTTATCCATATTTTTTAGTTATTAGTGGTGCATTTTTTTTATTTTGAAGGATAAATCTTTATTTATACAACCCTTTCTTAAAGTCATATATATTTTATTAATCGAATATAATAAATACTCCCTCTGATAAAAAATATAAAACATTTATTAAAGGGTTGAATTTAAAAAATATAAGACATTTTTAATATTTAAAGATATAATCATTATTTTTTTTAAACTGTCTATAATAAATAAATTATTTTATATTTATTTTACAGTAAAATATTTTATTAAATATAGTAAATATAAAAAATTGAGTTAATTTAAAAATAAATAGCTACTTTGTTGAAATAAAATTAAGTTAAAAATATCTTATATTTTTTTAATGAAGAGAGTATTATGTTAACATAATAATAAAATTAAAATTAATAATAGAAGGGTTTTAAAAATAAAAAATTAAGAAAATTAATTTTAAAAGAAGATATTTTTTTTTTTGGATGAACATGAATTAAAGGAAGACAGCTAATTACGTGCAATTATATTAAAATTCATGAGGGCATACTATTATATTGGGACTTGGCAGAATCACACTCAAAGATTCAGAAAGTCAGTTATTCATATATAAAAATTAATATAGAATAAGTTGTTATTAAAACAAAAATATAACTTATTGACTTGTTATTAATCCTCCTTGAATGATCCTTGTTCAGGTTTTGAATGTGATCCTCCCCATTATATTTTAGTCTAAAAAAAAATTAAGATACTAAATAAAACAAAACTTATTACAGACTTTCAGGTCGCGCGTGTTCTGTTCTGGTTATAAAATGGAGGCGTCCATCTAGGGTTACAAGCACCATCAACATTTTGAATCGGCGCTTGCTTCGCTTCTTAGTTCTCGCCCCTTTTCTCTTTCTCTTCCTCCGCCGCCCAGAACTCACAACCAGCTTAGATGATTGCTCCGAGATATCCTTCATGAAGAAAATTTCTTCATATCGTTCCTCAACTTGTAGACACCTTTTCATTATCTTCAGCTCCAAGTGCCTAGAAGCCATTGAGTGCTTCTCTTATTCCTCAGAGCTTCTTTTGGTGGGCTTTACATTTGGTGGGTCAGATGACTATGCTTCCACAACCTCTTCTGGAGCTTCTGGAGAAGTTAGTCAGATGACTGACTATGCTCTCTATCTGATTCCCTGTTTAGTCTCTTTGGCTCTCTTATTCTATGTGTTTTCTCTATTTCTGCTGGCGATAACAGATTCTCAATCTCAGCTACATTCCACTTGCCCCTTTATTAAATCCTTAACCTTAACGCCTCCGATTCTTTCCTCCAAGAATCTCCAAATGAGTTGAGATCATCCTCCTAAACTTTTGTAGCTAAGAAGTTAAATTGGATTGGTTATTTATGATTAAATTTGTGATTATGATAATCTATTTGAGTTATGGTATAGTTTCGTTCTTAGTTCTGTTTGGTGTTGCTTCTGGTTCTCTGTTTTCATTCTATTAATGCAGTGGGAGAATCAAGTGATGATTAAAAATACTGCAACAAAATGATAGATTTGATTGTATGATTGCTGGTATTTAAGTTGCTGATGATTCTCCCACTGCCTTTTCTCATTAAGTTTTGATATGAGTTTCGGGTCTCTGAGATATTTTCAACATTCGCCTATGAATCGTTTAGTTTGTAGAGAACAATGAATTTGGTGGGGATGTGATGAGAAGTTATTTGGTCCGTGTTTCTGATTAACCGTGATCGAGAACTCGTTTTAGCACACTCTGATCTCTACCTCATTTTGCCTGACGAAACTTGACAAGGATGAATTGGACAAATTGTCTTGTGCAATTGGTAAATTTTGTTCATACCAAGGTTTTATTATTTAGTTCTATCCTCTGCCAGGAAACCGTATGATGAATCTGAATTTACATTTTCTCACAACGGTCGCCTGAGATACATTTTGATGGAATGATCCATTAATTCTGACGGGGCATATGTCATACTGATAAAATGACATACTATTATGAGAATGATGATTATGCTGTGGTAAAGTGGTGTCTAAGCTTAACCTTCAGTTCCATTTGGTTAGGAAAACTGTGTTGATGTTGCATTTTTTGAGTTGAAAACTTGTGCGCTCAATTCTGCTTCTATTAAGAAAATATGTTGTGGTTCTTTGATTATAATAATGTATTGAATATTATTTTCTAAATATTTTTTGGTAGCGGCAGCGTTTCTTTGTTTTCTCTCTATGATCCAGTAAGAGAATCAAGTGATGATAAACAATATTGTCTGTGAATCATTTAGTTTCTGGAGAATAATGAATTTGGTGGAGATGTGATGAGAATTCTTTTGGTCCGTGTTTCTGATTAACCGTGACTGAGAAATCATTTTAGCACACTCTGATCTCGACCTCATTTTGCTTGAAACTGAATTAGTATTTTTGCATGGTGAAACATACCAAGGATAAATTAGACAAATTGTTTTGTGCAACTGGTATATTTTACTCGTACCAAGGTTTTATTATTTAATTCTCTCCTTTATCAAAAAACTGTGATGAACCTGAATTTACATTTTCTCTTTACCGTTGTCTGTGATTCTCTTTGATAGAATGATCCATTTATTCTGATGGAACCCATGTCATAATGATGAATCATGAAATTACATACTATTCTGAAAATGATTATGCAGTGTTAGGCTAAAGTCTAAGTTTAGCCTTCAGTTTAATTTGTTAAGAAAACTGTGTTGATATTGCCTTTTTTTTTTAGTTGACGACTGTCCTCAATTCTGCTTCTATCAAGAAAATATGTTGTGGCTATTTGATTATGATAATGTATTTAATTATAGCATTTTATTTTAAAAAAAAATTTGGTAGTGGTTTTGTTTCTTTGTTTTCCATATGATGCTGCAAGAGAATCAATTGATGACAAACAATACTGCAACAAGATGATGGTTTTGATCCCATGATTACCAGTATTTAAGTCTCTGATGGTTCTTCCAACGGCTTTTCTCATCAATCTTCAGTGAATTTAGGGTTTGAGAGATATTTTCAAGATTTGTCTGAATCATTTAGTTTTTGAAGAACAATGAAAATGGCGGGAATGTGATGAGAATTTATTTTGTGTTTCTAATCCCTCATGACCGAGAACCCATTTAAGCACACTGATCTCAACCTCACCTTGCTTAAAGCTAAATTATGATTTTTTGCGTGTTGAAACCTGCATAGGATCAATTGGGCAAAACATGTTTTGTGCAATTGGTATATTTTTCTTCTACCGAGCTATCCTGAGACTGAATGATGAATTTGGATTTATATTTTCTCATGACGGTCGTCTGAGACTCACTTTGATGAAATGATCCCAAAATTCTGACAATCTCATACTGATGCAATGTCATACTATTATGTTGCTGTGGTAGGTAGAGTCTTAAGCTTAGCTTCAGTTATAGTTAGTTCAGAAAAATTTATTGCCATTGCAATTTTTATTGAGCTGAAAGCTGTTGCTAAATTCTGGTTCTATTGTGAAAATATGATGTGGCTATTTGAGTATAAAGATGTACTGAATTGTGTGTTTTATTTTATTGGGTGGCTGTTATGGTTCTTTGTATTTACTTTATGATGCAGTGGGAGAACTATGCTATGGTAAAAAGTACTGCAACAAATGATGGTTTTGATTTAAGTTGCTGTTGATTTCCCTCATCTCTATGGTTCCTGGACATAAATGAATGTGGTGGAGATGATGTGAGAATTTTTTTGGTCTGTGCTTCTGATAAACTGTGAGATATTCCATTTTTGCACGCTCGGATCTCCACCTGATTTTGCTTCAAGTTGAATTTGATTTTTGGTGGTCGAAACTTGCCGGTTTTTTTAATTGAACAAATTAGGTTTTGTGCAATTGGTGTGTTTTGCTTGTACCAAAGGGTTATTCCCTTAATTCTCTCCTCTATCTTGTGACCAAATGATGAATTTGGATTTACATTATCTCACGACGGTCGTCTGAGAATTCACTTTGATGCAATGATCCAATAATTCTGATGGAATATTCGACATATTGATGAAATGAAAATACTATCATGAGAATAATCATGCCGTGATAGGGTAGAGTCTTCAGTTTCAGTTCTATTTAGTTCAGAAAACTGTTTTGCGATTACCATGTTTGAGCTGAAAGCTGGCGCTAAATTCTGGTTAAGCTAGTTCTCATTATGTAATGAACTACAACATATGATGTAATATTCTAGAAGGATGTCTGGGAGTAATAAAAATTTTTTTGGTTCTACTGGAAAAATTTATTGTGGCTATTTGATTAGGAAGTACTCTTTTTGCACTATAATATATGACATTTTTTATAAGCAGTTTAAAATATAGAATATTGAATAATTTTTATAATTGTTTTATCAACTATATTGCTATTTTATTATTTTTTAAAAAATGATGTATTAAAAATTTAATTTGTCATTTATTATGGTATTAATATAGGATATTTAATGAATATATAAGTAAAAAATATTTTTTTATAAAAAAATTAAGGTTTTAATTAATATTTTGATAACTTTGAAATAGTTGTCAATGTTTAATGTTATGATTTAGAGAGAATAAGACTTAAGTACTTAATTTTTATATATTTAATATATTTTTATTTAATTAGATCAAGATAAGTGAATTTTAATGAGTTAATAATATAATAATAAGAGTTTGTTATAGAATTAATAATTTATAAGAAATTCATATGATTTGATTTAATTGAAAATTAACATTTTAAGTGTATGAAGTTAAGTATTTAAGTTTTTCAATAATTTAGTGAATTATTCTCTCTATAAAATATTTTTTAGAAGTTAAATATTTAAAAGTATAAAGTAATTTTAATCTTTTGAAGTATAATTATTATTTTTTTTAAAAAAATATCTTTATTGATAGTTATTATATATTTAATATAGGGTGTTTAATAAAAATAAATATAAAAATAGATAGTTTGAAAGTAGATAATTATTTTATGAAGAGGTGAGATTTGATTAAAAATATTTTATATTTTTAAATAAAGAAAGTATAATTTATTTTTATGGTGAAAGTTTCGTTTGGTGGTTATAGGTCTTTGTTCTAGCTCTCTGATGCAGTGGGAGAATATTTGACTGTGTAGAGACGAATGGAGATGGTAAAGAGTGTATGAGATAACCTTGACTCAAAAAGGGGTAGATGAAGAAGAGAATAATTACGTGCAAGGACTGATGATTATATATATGTATGTATATATATATATATATATATATATATATATATATTATACTACTGATTTATCATGCGTTTTGTGCAAAAGGATGTTGCAAAAAAAAAACAAAAGAAAAAATTTGTTGCAAGTGGCCGTTAGTTTGTATGTGTTGGGGCGGGGTATGGTTCTATTTAGTTTTACATACTTAATATATTTTTATTTAATCAGATCATGACATGTAAATTTTAATATATTGATGATATTAGTAATAAGAATTTGTTTTGTAAAATAAATAATTTATAAAAAATATACATGTTTGAATATAATTGAAAACAAGTATATTTGTGTAAAGTGTAAGTATATAATTTATTTCTAATGTGTGTATTTAATTGAATTACAAGGAAATATTTAGCACTCTGCAAAGGAGATTAAATTTAACATTAGTAACGATAGATAAAACATTCACTTAAAAGGGTCATTGAAAAACCTAGCATGTCAATTGTCATGATATGCATGGCGTGAGTTGCTTAACTTCCGTTTTTTTTTTTTTTAAAGTGTAATCGAATGTGACAATTCAATAATTTCTAATAACGTTGATAAGAGAGTGGTCTTAATTTGACTTGACTTGATTCAGATTAACGATGAGAGTCTAAAAAAGTTCCTAATATCTATTTTACTTAGAAAAGATAGGGAGAATTTTAAATAAAAAATAGGATATAACAAAATTACTAGTAAGTTTCAAAAAAATTTAAAATTTTAGTTCAATTTAAGGGATAAAAATGATAATAATTTTAACTGTAAAAAGATTAAAGCATTCTTTATTTATTATGCAGAGTTATTAGCTGTTAATTTTTTTATTTTACCTATTAATTTACTAATATCACTTATAAATTATATCTATTTATCAGATAAGTCATTAATTATTAATTTGCTAACTTTACTTGTTAATTTAGTAACATCAGTTATAAATGCTTATCAATAATTTATAAATGATATTAGCAAATTACAAAAACTATTTGTAATTTACAACTAATGTTAATAAATTAATAAGTAAAGTTAACAATTTAATAACTGATATTGCTTCTTATGTTTGAATAATTTATATAATTATTGACATGTTAATTTATGTAATTTGCAAATCATATAAGTAAATTAATAAGTAAAGTAAAAAAATTAATAATTAATGATTCTATATAACAAGTGAAAGGTATTTTAATCTTTTTATAGCTGAAATTATTTTTACATTTATCTCTTGGACTAAAATAAGATTTCAAAATTTTTTGAAACCCACTTTTAATTATTTCACATCCCTAGTTTTTATTTGAAATTCTCCCAAAAAGATATGTAAGAAAACTTTTTTTTTTTGGGATTTCAAATGGAAAATATATGAGTTGATAAAAAAATTTTAAATGAAAAAAATAAATGAGTTAAGATTTGATGAAAATGAAAATTGTGAATGATTTGTTTATTTTTATATTTTAATGGACGGGAGATGAAAATGAAAGATAAGAAAAGATATATGAAAGTTAATTGAAACATGGGATCTCATCTTAGTCACACAATTAACTCTTTTTTTTTTTCATAATGGGGAAAATGCATTATATCAAACAAACATAAAAAGTTGCAAATCAAAATGACATGACATGATCGCAAACAGCACAACTAAAATATGAATTCTTACAACCACAAGAACCCAAAGGACACGATAGAGAAATACACCAAACTTCCAAAATATGCTCAATGCCCTTTTAAGGTCTGTACTTTGTTGTCAAGCATGATTGCATAATAACCAATAGGAACTTTTGTACCATCACGCTAAGGTTAAAGAAAGATGATCCGAAGAAACTGTGCCCAAAGCTTCATCCAGCAACCAAAAGGTCTCTTCAGTCCAAGAACATGTGGCTTATTAACAGAACACAGTATTCAAACAGCATGCATGATACTAACATGGAGAAAACATGAAGTCAACAATGCTAATACATATCAAATTAATTAGAAAAAAAAGGTCATCGACAGAAGTTTTGTGTTCCAATACTATTCATACCATACTATAAGCATGTTCTGAGCTTCTTAAAACTCCAAAATAAAAAATACAATTTTTTCTTTTTTATTCAAAATTTTAATTACGTTAATTCACAATTTAATAAATTGTGTTATTTTCATATATTAATTTAAAAATTAAAATAAATCAAACAATTTCAACTATGTTGTTTTGAAATATTAATAATGTTAATCAAATTTTTTAACAGTTTCAACTAACTACAAGACGATTGGAAAAAAAAAAAAAAAACCAAACATTGGGCCTATAAGAGCCAACTCAAGCCTATTTTAAGGACTTATAAAGGTCAGATTTAAATTTTTTTTAAATAAAAAATCCTTTCATTTTTAAGCACAAATTTCAAAAAAAAAAAAAAGATTTATACTAGTACTTTAAAAGGTCCGACTTTTACTGATAGCTCTAAATTCCAAAAAAATCTACCCACCAAAATGGAAAATAATTTTTTGATATAGCAATAGCCTTATCTTTGATGCTTGATAATCATAGGGGGATGATGGATTTGCATTCCGTGCTCATCCCCTACAAGGGTGATCCTAACCCTTCATTTTATCCCAAAATGATCTTTGCACTTAGTTTTAAATTAATTTTTAAATATTTTAAATATTATATTCGTGAAAGTAAAAATTATAAAAAAATATTATTAAATTTTGACTGTCTAAAATATATCTAGATAGTCAATTTATAAAAATTATAAAAAATTTAATATTAAATTAGATCATCCAGATTATATCTGGATTGTCTAGAATATATCTGAACAGTCAGTTTATAAAAAGTATAAAAAATTTATATTAAATTAAATCATCTAGATTAAATATGAGTTGATAAGATTGATTATCAACAAATTTATTAAAAATTTAATCTTTTTTATGCATTTTTATTTTGATTAATATAAAATAAAAATAAAAATTTAAATCTGGATTGTCTAGATCCTGTCAGGAGTGATGTGTATGATAGTGCTCATCATGTAATGAGCATTGAGAGCAGTCCAGATTTAATATTAAAAATTTCTATAATTTTTATTTTTACAAATATAATATTTAAAATATTTAAAAATTAATTTAAAATTAAAGGCAAAGATCATTTTGAAACAAAATGAAAGGCTATGATCATCCTTGTAGGTGATGAGCACGCCATGCTCATCAAGCATGGGTTGCAAATCCAGGGTATGACAAGTAAGACATTGTAAAAAGATTAATATAAAATAAAAACATTCAACTTGTAAATATAAATTTTTTTATAAGTTTGGAAGTTTTAATTATATATACACTTTATTTTCTTAGATTAATATAATTCCCTTACAAGATTTTCAATTTTCATTCTCCCATAATCATAAGAAATTAAAATAAGAAAATATAAATTTTAACAATTATATATAAATTTAAAACGAAATCTTTATAAGATTTGTCACGCCCCAACATGCAAGGAGAGAGGCCCATGATGTATGTGCACATTGGGCCTCCCCTACATTAAGACTTGTCAACTGATTTATAGGTCATGTGGTTTTTTATTCTTTTTGAAGCCGAACTTGGTTATTTGCTTGCTCAAACATGCAATAGCAACCACTATTATAATCACCAGTGGGTCTTCTTGCAGCATTAAATAATCATTGGAAGAACTTGTCACTGTTATGATTCAACTTAACTTGATTCAGATTAATGAGAGTCTAAAAAGTTCCTAATATCTGTTCCACTTAAAAGAAAGATATATCAGAAATCTTTTTTTTTAGGGGATCGGATATCTAAAAAGTTCTTTATCCAAACATTTTTTTTTGTTTTTAAAAACATAAGACATATCTTAAAAATAAAAATCATACATGCAGTAACACTTATTTCCTTTGATCCTATTTATATGTCACTTTTAACATGTTTTACCAGAATTAAAAAAAATCTTAAATCTTATTAACTTTGTCTTAAAAGTTAACAAGTTTTTACCTTTATCCCTAATAAATATTCTTAAATCAGATTATTGATATTTTTATTCAAGCATTTAATAAGGGTAAAAATGTAAAGAAGAGTGTTGAAAATTGACAAGTGCTTTATAAATAGGATTAAATTTTTTCTTCTATCTCTGCCCTATAAATAAGATCAGAGGAGTATTTTTTAAATGGTCTGAAACAGAGTTCTTGAAACACAGTGAACCAAATGTCTGCGCACAATAATCAGTGGCAACAAACTTGTTAACCCATAGATATTATAAGAAAAAAAGCCTTTCAAGTTTCAATTGAGGTTATTTTAGATATTTAGGTAATTCAACCATGGGATTTCATCTTAGCTAGCCACATAATTCAGTATTCTTCTAATAATAGGGCGAATGCATTATATTAAACAAACATAAAATGTACAAACCTGAAAACATCAACAAAGAGGACAACATGACACGAGCACAAATTAACAATAAAACATTGGAAAGTTACAACACAATAGTGCCCCAAGGTTTGTTGTCAAGCATGATTGCAAGAGGCAGAGGATTAGAGAATCTGTGAACAAAGCTCTATCCTATGACACCACAGGGAATGCTTTGCAAAATGGTTTGAGTGAGTTTCCTTCATCATCAGTCCTAGAACATGTGGCTTGTTAATATAGAATATAATATCCAAACAGTACACGTAATGCGAAACCTGGAGAAAAAAATACACATTACATTAAGAAGTAGAAAGTGAAGATCATCAACAAAAGTTTGTATTCCAATCTTCTTACCATACTATAAGTATATTCCTAGCTTCTTAGTGCTCGTCATGGCCTGGGTTGATTTCTTGGTCGACATGATCGTGCTGATCAACCTTACGATTGCCTCGAGGCAATATTGGCCTAAGAGAAGGCCAATGGTCAAGGATTTTCTTCACACCACCAATTATATAGTCATTAGTTGAAGCTGGAGCAAAATTTATAAGTGCATATTGGTCTCCTTTAAAAATGTAAGCTTTGTTTGTCGATGCAAAAGCTGCATCTATTCTACTTTCAAATATAGTGCCTCTCAAACTATGAAAGCCTTGGTTAATGTGACGGATGGCAATTTGGGTCTTGGAATTGTAGTTTATAAGAGCACACTGGTCCCCTTTGAATAAGTAAGCTTCATTCCTTGCAGTTGCCCTAAATGCAGCATCAATGCTATTCTCAAAAACAGTACCCTTGAAGAAGGGAAACATGGCAGCGATTGTCATAGGACCGTGGAGTATTCTGTCATTTGTGGATCCCGGAGCATAGTCTATGTGGGCACAAAGTTTCCCAAAGAAGATGAACGCTTCCGTGCCATCACTATCAAACGCACAGTCTATTCCGTGCTCTCCAAATGCTGTACCAACAAGAGAATGGTAGCCATCACAAATCAAAAGTGGACCATTGACAATCCTGTCATTTATTGATCCCGGAGCATAATTCACCAGCACGTACTCATTTTTGATGAATAAATAAGCTTCGTTGGTACTCCATGCAGCATTGATGTAGCTATCTATATCTTACACATGATTCGCGTACCAATCATATGTAAAGTTTCTGATCATGAGTCATATAGACTCTGCTTATTGAGAGAAAATCATGCATCATATCTTAATGAAATGAATAATACTCTCTATTCAACAAACCCAATGTATACAAGTGTTGCTGTGCTGACTTAAAATAATACATAGGAAAGTAAATGACATATGTGCCCATAGAAAATCTATTAAATCTATTTCTCATTTCTACACTCCCCCTCAAGTTGGTGCCATAAACATCTATGGTGCCCAACTTGCCTAGAAGATATTCTTGTGCTTTTTTACCTAGTGCTTTGGTGAGAGGATCTGCTTCTTGTTGTCCTGAATGAACATGATACAAGTGAATAATCTTCTCCTGTAGCTTGTCTCTGACAAAATGACAGTCCATTTCTATGTGCTTCATCCTCTCATAGAAAACAAGGTTGTTAGTAATGTGTATGGCTGCTTGACTGTCACATTAAATACTCATAGGTTGAATATGAGAAATGTTCAAATCCTTAAGTGATCTTACAATCCAAATAACTTCCGACACTGCAGAACTCAAAGCTCTATATTCAACTTCCATAGAGGACTTAGACATCATGTGCTGCTTCTTTGTTTTCCAGGAAACTAGACCATCACCCAATTTAACTAAATAGCTAGTAATAGTCAAGATGTATTGCATGAAGCCCAATTTGAATCACAAAAACAACTCAAATCTGTGTTTTTATTTAAGCTGAGCAACACTTCAAGTCTTGGGTTGTGTTTTAAGTAACGAAGTATATTCTTCACAGCTGCTATATGAGCTTTCGTTAGATGGATCATAAATTGCTAATAATCTACACAGGAAAAGAGATATCAGGATATAGTCAAATAAATCAACCTTCCTATCAATCTCCTATATTCTCCAAGATCCCTTAACAATTCTTCTTCCTTATGTTTACCTTCTTCATACGCTAAAAGCTTTAGGTTTTGTGGCATAGGGATCTTAAGAGGCTTACAACCACTCATACCTGTATCTGATAATAAATTTAGGACATATTTATGCTGACTCATCACTATAACTTTACTGGACTTGGCAACCTCAATCCCAAAAAAATACTTTAAGGACCCCAAATCTTTGATTTTAAATTTGGAATTGAGAAAATCTTTAATTTCAGCAATACCTACATGCGAACTACCAGTTATAAGCATATCGTCCCCATAAACTAGCACTAATACTACACCATCATTAGGCTGTTTAGTGAATAGTGAATAATCATACCTATTCTATTTAAATCCATCTTGCAATAAGGCCTTAGACAACTTACAATTCCACTGCCTCGAAACTTGTTTCAGCCCATACAATGATTTTTTTTTCAATTTATATGTTGTATTCTCCCCTTTACTATAAAGTCCTTGAGGTACCCTCACATATACCTCCTTATTTAAATATCCCTACAAGAAAGAATTATATACATCTATTTGGTGCAAGCCCCATTTATTTTGGATAGCAAGTTAAGTATGATTCTAATTATCACAATCTTAACTATTGGAGAAAAGGTCTCATGATAGTCTATACCCTTCTTTTAGTTATAGCCTTTGGCCACTAGCCTAGCTTTGTATCTATCAACACTGCCATTAGATTTATATTTAACTTTAAAGATCCTATGGCACATTTATTTTTAGGTAATGGCACTATATCCTAGGTATTGTTATTTTCTAGCAACCTCATAACTAGTTGGTTCATGAACAGAATCAATTGAAGATAAGAAATAGTTATAAGAATGTGATATGTTAGCATACGAAAGATGATTTTGAATAGGATACTTAATGCTAGAACTAGTGCATGAAGAGGCAGAAAAAGCATAATCTTTTGCCCATATTGGTGGTTTTCTTTCCCTAAAAGGTCTTATCTTAGGCTGTTCAGGTGTATTTATGTCTATTATGTCCTCTTCATCTATATCATTATCACACTCCATTTGATTATTAACATGTTTTATGTATTCAAACCTATTTGATTTAGGCTTATAATGCATGGTTTCAATATCATCCCAAAACTAATTGTGACTAGAAGACCATTGAGATTCTTAGTTCGTTTGTGTAATGTGTTTAAAAGGAAAATGATTTTCAAGAAATTTAACATGCCTACTAATAAAAACATGTCTAGTAGCAAAATCAAGTAGGATGAAACCCTTTTAATTATGTGGATAACCAAAGAAAACACAAGGAACAAATCGTGGTTCGAACTTATATGTGATGTTTAAGTTAGTTGCAAAAGCAAGAGAATTAAATACTCTTAAATGATCTAAATGAGGAACCTCACCATAAATCAACTCATATGAAGTCTCAAATTGCAATATTTTGGAGGGAATTCTGTTGATTATGTATGCTACAGTTTTCACACATTCTGCCAATACTTAATAGGCATACCAGACTGTATCATTAATCCTCTAGAAACTTGAATTAAACTCCTATGTTTCCTTTCAACAACTCCATTCTATTCTAGGGTATAAGGACAAGTTGTTTCATGAACAACTCCCTTTTCCTCTAGATAATTCCTAAGAGTAAAATTAACAAATTCCTTTTTATTATCAGTTTTAATCTTCTTTATCTTAGTAGAGAATTGGTTTGAAACATAAGAAAATTTTTTTAATATGATTTGTGGTTTTAGATTTACACTTCATTAAGAAAACCCATGTTGCTCTTGAGAAATCATCTACAATAGTAAGAAAATATTAATGACCCATGTGTAAAGGTTCTCTATAAGGTCCCCAAACGACCATATGCAATAGTTCAAAATATAGCTTTAATCTAACAATACTAATAGAGAAAAGCAATTTGGTTTGTTTAGATTGAACACAAACATCACAAATTGTATTATCAGTTCTATAAGCATTGTGTATAGCAGGTAAATGTTTAATAATATTGCTAGGTGCATGACCTAATCTACAATGCCAAAGCTAATTATGATCTATTGTTTTATTTAAATCAGAATTCCTAGCAGTAAGAACATATTGTTTATTATCAATGGTCATAATATACAATCCCTTAATTAGTCTACCAGTTGCTCTCATCTTGCCATCTTAAAGGTCTTGGAAAAGGTAAATATTAGGAAAAAAATGCTACCATACATTGTTGTTCCCTTGTGAGTCTAGATATGGAAATCAAGTTAAAACATAACTAGGGAGAAGACAGGGCATCCTTCAAAATAATACCCTTAATTAATTTGATGTCAACTATGTGAGTAATCTGAACACGTTGTCCATTAGGGATTTTGATGGTTTTAACTAGTCCATTATATTCTCTATAACTATCCAGATAATGAAGACTGCTCACCATGTGGGTGGTGGCTCTTAAATCTAAAATCCAGTCAACATGCAATTTAGAATCATAATTACTCAAACCTGTACTAGTCAAGGCATGCCTTATTGGCTTTGAATCCTTTTTGAGCAATTAGAAGATTTGTTCATACTGTTCCTGTGTGAATGATGGTGCTACACTACCATTTGCTTCATCCCGTGTATTATTACTTGTCACTTGATTAATGCGCTGCTCAAGAGCCTTGTTGTCTTTGCTCTTCCAGTTGGGTGGAAACCCCATAATATGGAAGCAGTTCTCTTTCACATGACCCTTCTTTTTGCAATAGGAACACTCCACATTTAGGTTTCCATGACCACGTCCCCTTCCACGGCCTTGTCCTCCAATGACTACTATAGCATTTCCATCAAATGGGGTAGGCTTGTTTATGTTCATTATAGATCTTTGAGCTTCATCTTCAACAATCATGCCATATGCTTGATTAACTGTTAGAAGGGGGTTATCATTAGTATTTGGCTTCTTGCTATAACACCTTCAAATTTATAGACCGATTTTCCGCAAGTTATTAATTCAACAAATCCTTTTTTTTTACTTTTTTTTTATTGAACCCTTATCATATCCAAGACAATATACCACAGGTCTTAAAATATCTCAAAAAGCAATTAGAACCATGAGGGATAGACATGATCCTCATAGCATGTTATTCAAATCAGATCATAAATCAAGAGGGACAGACATAATCTTCTTGGTCATATAAATACTTTTAATAAAAAGGATTAGAGTTTACATGCTTCACAAAGAAGATATGTCCTAAGTTGGCATAAGATACGTTGTATAATCTAAAATAAGAGGCAACGTAAAAGATGGTGTCTCATACACCACAGTTACACCTCTGGTGCTTTCTCGGCCGGACTCGCTCCTGTAAAAATATTAACCACGGGGAATGAGACTTAAAAGTCCCAGTAACTAAAAATTAATATGTAATGATGCATGCGGATGTAACTAATCATGCGATTGCTAAGTGGGCACACAAAACATTTAACCGAACAATACTTTCAAACAAACCGAACAAGTATTTAATTTGCATGGCTGCACCTTATATCCTCCTTTCACCATGCTCGGACGCCAAATCACCCGGCCAAAGGTGAGTTGGACCAAGCGACACGCCACTCATTGGGTCTAATGAGGGCTTACCACGTGGTAATAATTAACTGAACAGAAATTTCCATTAACACCATATATTAAAATACCCTGACAAGTCATGCATCATTCAAATATCCAAATAGGAATATATCCGAACAATAATATCTCATCATGATAAACAAAAATAAATTTTTGACCCACTTGGCAATAATTTCAAACAAGTATATATATACAGTATTTATTTTCATTAATTCATAATTTTTTAAACAATAAAACAACACATAACTATTCACAAACACACCCATCACAACACATTAATAATGGTTACCTTGTGTCTTGAATAACAAGTTCCCCTTCACAACTCCTTTTTCACCACTATCTTTATCAATATAATCTACATAATTATTTCACAATACTATATATTAATTTTACATTAAAATAAATAACTCTAATTTAAAGAGTTAGAAAGTCTTAGATCTATAATCCATATTAACACTAATTTAAGATTTATGCCTCATTTAACTTCCCAAATTCTTTTTCTAAAATTCTCATACCCTAATAAACTATTTTTTTATCCTCAAATCACTTCTCGTATCACAATTTCATCCTTCTATATTCTAAAAATTCATCCAAAAATAAATTAAAAATTTTAGAATTATCCTTGACCCTCAAATCACCTTTCTATAACCTCAAAAATACCTATTCATACTTAAATAAATATTTAATAATCATAGGTTTATCCCTACATCTCAGATTTCACATAAATTCAACCATATAGATCTAGATTTTAACTCAAAAATTCTTAAACATGAGTTTCAACCTCAAAAAAATATTCTATAATATTTATTATATCCCTAAAGTTTTAACCTATATTTTTAATCCATCATATCATCAGATTAACTATCATATAGAAAAATCCTAATCAGAATATTTACTCTATCCTACAAAATAATCATATCACTAGAAAGCTAATATTATTTAGAAAATAACTATAAAATTAATTTTGTAATTAAATAAATTTTTAAATGCTAATCTAAATAGGAAAGTTAGAACATACCTGAAGAAAAAGAAAATAATCCCCCCTTATGAGAAAACGCTGAGCAACGTGAGAGGAAGAGAGAAAAATAATATAAAAATAGGATTGTGGTCCCAAAATTATATTAAAAAAAACTATAGGTTTGAATTTAATTATTCAAACCTTTGGGCCATTACTTGCAATTTTCACAAATTGTAATAAAAAATTCCTCATGCTTCCTCCACAATGCACCTCCTCTTTTTATACATGAGGAGGTGCCTTTCGTTCCCACATCTAACCGATGTGGGACTAAACCCCCTCCTTTTTTTTTACTTTCTTTTCTTTTTTTTCTTTTTAACTCACACACACACATTAATAATAATTTTTTTTAAATCTTAAAATTATATCTTAACAAAATATTTCTTATATAATTTTAAACTTAAGTTTTTAATTCATAATTAAATGCCTAACTATATTATTATTTTTAAATAACCTCAAATAATATAAATTCCTATTATTATCATCATTTAAAAAAAAACTTAAATTTCATAATTTTTTTTATCTAAAAATTAGGATGTTACACTTGCAACACTAAATGTGTCATTGAGTCCCATTAAAAATTGCAATAGCTTTTACTATTGAATCAGGTCCCCATAAGCCTTCAAAGTCCCACACTTACACGATGGGATGATAATGAGTGCAGCTTGTTTTTCCCATAGCTTCTTTAGTCTAATAAAGTAGTTGGAAATTGAGAGTGAACCTTAAACCAAGGAGTTGATTTCTCGATGAAGGGAAAAATCCTAGTCCCCATTGCCTTATCAAAACATTCTTTAAGTTCATTCCATACTTGAGATGCACTTTGCGAGAAAGCCATACCGCAAGAAAGTTCCTTCGTGACAGAATTTAAAAGCCATGATAACACCATAGCATTGCAACGTTCCTACTAATCATGAAGGGCTAGATCTTGCAATTCCTTTGTGTGAGAACCATCAACGAATCCCAATTTGTGTTGTCTAAGAAATGGGATTCGCATTGCTTTGCTCCAGATACTGTAGTTTTCACTTTCAGTCAAAATATGAAGGATGAGTGTGACGACCTGTATGTTTAAAGGATGAAGATACAATGGATAGGTGAAATTAATGGTTGTCACCGATGCCACTTTCTTCTCTTCGTTCAGCATTTGAGCATTATCTTTGAGGCTTGTGAAGGAATGGAGAATGTATGATCTTTCTTTACTCGCGTCTTCATTCATTCGTGTTTGACTCAAAAGAATGTTAGGGTTTTCTTGAAGAATGACCCAAGTTTGATACATGTAGCTATATGGTTGCTTTGGGTCTTTTCTTTTATCGACCTAATTTTGTTGAAAAGGTATGCTCTGCTCAGCATCTCAGTGGATCTTGAATGTGAATCTTGGATTCTTTGATCCAAGTTTTATGTATCTTGTTTTAGAGGAGGCCTAAAAATAGCCATACTCTGGATACCATGTAAAGTTTTTGATTATGAGTGTATAGAGTTTGCTTATTGAGAGAAAATCATGCATTATATCTTGATAAAATGAATAATACTCTCTATTCAATAGACCCAATGTATACAAGTTATTTATAGTATTGTTGTGCTGACTTAAAATAATACATAGAAAAGTAAATGACATATATACCCACATAAAATTTATTAAATCTATTTCTCATTTTCTACAATATGCATCTCACGAGACTTGCCTTTTCACTCTGCTCTCATCATCAAATGGATGAAACCTTAACCTTTATCAGGTCCTTACAGTGACCCTCAGGGGTTTTGTACTTAGATATAGTCCTTCGTATTCAAAGCTGCCTCTTTGGATGTGACTAGGGATTAAAGTAGCAATTAATACATAATATGTCATTAACTCTCTAAAAATTTAGATGATACCTACTTGCAACAAAAGCTTTAGAAATTACTTATTATGGTACACGAGTGATAAATAATTTAATCAAGAAATGATGATCAATTTAAAACTAATTGAGGTCTAACTTGGCATGTGACAAGGTATTCTTGAGAAACGTGAATGTATTGAGGTACAATGGCACCAATAAAAGTAACTTCACCTTGACTAGGATATTGATATAGATCACCCAGTATTTGAACATCCCAAATACCACCAGGAACATAGATCTCATAGCAATATACTCGCATGGATTGTCCAGCTTGGAGGCTAGGACTTAGGCATTATGAACTATTAAATATGGTGCTAATGAAGGCATGTGTTGTGGTCCTAGTTATCTAAAGAGGCCTACCAGCTAAATGGACAAAGTGATACAAATTGAAGTAAATGGTCTCGTTAGTGCCCCCTTCATGCCTTGCTTCAAATTCATTACAAAACCATGTCCCTTTTAAAGAAAAAATAGATGTGGATTATTCATAATCCATGTAAAAAAGACGTGGATTATGAATAATCCATGTCCCTTTTTATCAAATATGAGATGTGGATTATTATATTCAACATCCCTTTTTCATAATAAGGGACATGGATTATTAATAATCTATATCTCTTTTTGTTGGAAAGGGACGTGGATTATGAATAATCCATGCCCCATATAATGAAAAAAGGGACGTGGATTATTTTTTAAAATATATAATTTATATTTTTTTTACAGCCAATAAACTTATAAATTTTCACAACAACAACAGCCCAACATCCAATGTGTCCAACAAATAATAGCAGCAGCAGCATATATAGACTAAAGGAATACTAAAGCCATTATATATTCAAGTGTTCAATATTTGCAATCAAAGTTTAACAAATTACAACAATATACTAAATAAAGTTTCTAGCCTTCTAACTTCTAAGTCAAGCTAAAATCTTAATTAAACAAACTATAAAATTTGGACTATATAAATAACTCTTGAAGAAGTTGACGTGCCAAATTATTTTGAATGTCATTTATCTCTTCATTAGTGTAGGGGTACTCATTGTCAAAAAGCTACAAATTTTTATACGATTTTTATTAGATCTAGTAAAATTCTAAAGCCTCTATATTCCCTCTCTAAATTTTCATTGAGATTAAAATACATACTAGGTGTAAATTCTCGTTGGTATAGAATTGAATAATTTCATACATATAAGAGATAATATAGTATCTGCACACTATACTCCATATCTATCGATGGCATTAGTCAAATAAAAATCAAATGATGAGCATAAACAATAACATATATGGAATGATTGTAGATGAACTTTGAATAAAAATTACTCACATTTAAAAAAAATCCAAGTCAGTGAGCCATTTTTTTTATTCCACTTTTGGGTGGGTGGTAACTTCCCCCGTTATAC